TTGTTTAGTTTGAAGGATCTTTGGATTCTTAGATTTTCACAGTAGATTCCAGCTCCCGTTCCACTTTCTATCTTTGACCCATCAGCATAGACAGCTATACCGTTAAAAGGTGGAGTGTCGCAGGTCCAGATGTCTCTGTTAGGTATATGGATATAAAGTAGTTCAAAGCTGTGCTTAGGTGATGTATAATAGCAAGCTATAGCCTGATTTCCTATGTTCACCTCATACTTGAAAATGACGGAGTGTCCAAAGGCTGACTCCGCCATTCTCCCAGTTCATTGAGTCGCAGGTCACAATTAGCAGCTTGTTCCTCTACAACGGTTTTAAGTTTAGTAGGGTGTCTAGTGAGGATTGGTGTGTACTCATAAACGCGCCTGTAATTAGTAGCTATGCAACTCTTTGGACTTTATCAATGCTTTAACTGAAGGTAGTTTTCCCTAAGGAGTGCCACCAAACAAGCCCTCCATAGGTGAGAATTGTTCTGACGACTGACTCATACAACTAATTAACTATGTGAGTCTTGAGTCCCCAGCTTTTTCCTATGGAAGTTTAGCAGGAATAAAGTGCAATTAAGCCCCTCTTCGCTCGCTCCTCGCTGCTCCTCTTCCAGCTTAGTTTCTGGTCTAGGACGGTTCCGAGATATTTGGCTTCCGAAGAAAGGCTTAGCATAACACCATCCAGTATTGGTAGCGAAAAGTGTGGGATTTTCCGCTTCCTTGTGAAGAGTACGAGCTCATGCTCGAGTTGACGATTCTGCTGCTGAGCATAATATCAATTCAATCAACAAGAAGTAGTGGTATACTAAGTTTTGCGAGGGAACTATGAATTGCCTCGAGTGTGACATTATTGAAGGCTCCCTCGATGTCGAGAAAGGCTGCCAAGGTGAAGCACGAATTGTTCAGGTTCCTCTCTATATAACCCACGACGTCGTGTTGCGCTGATTCAACAGATTTGCCTTTAATATAGGCATGTTGAGCTGCGCTCAACGAGGTCAAGGGTGTCAGAAAACTAATCTCAATGTCTATTAGTCTCTAAAGCGTTTTCAATAGAAAAGACGAGAGACTGATGGACCTGTAGTCTTTTGGAAGTACATGACTTGGTTTCCTAGCCCTGGGGATATAAGTGACTGTACTTCCCTCCACAGTGATGGAATGTGAGAGAGACGCAGATAAGCCTTAAATATGACATCTAGGAAAGATATTATTACCGTCGATGCATGCTGTAGCATGGCGGGAATAATGCCATCCGGTTCCGGCGACTTGAAAGTTTTGAATGAGTTTATAACTCACAAAATCTTGGGAGTGCTTACAATCCGATCTACCAATCGGGCATTTTCCGCATCGGAGCAGTTTGGAAAGTGAGTATTTGCTAACAGATTGAGTGCTTCTAGACCAGAGTCAGTCCAGCTTCCGTCATTCCGCTTTATGCATCCAATGGATTTGGGGTCCTTTGAAAGTACTCTACGGAATCTGGAGGCTGTGGCTACATCTTCTATGAACTCAGCAACGCAAACCCAAGACAGTCTTTTGGCCTTTTCGAATTGTCTGCCGAATTGTAGGCTTCTTGGATCTTCCCTTAGGAAAACCAATTCCCTCAGACGGTCCTCAATGAGAAGCCACCGACTTTCACTGATTTTGCCTTCCGGCTCAGCTCGGTCGATGATCGCTACACGAATATGTTTCCTTTTCCTACTCCCTTCGCTTAAACCTATTGTAATAGTGTTCTGAACAATATTCAATTAAATTGAAGCAAAATATTGCAATAGTTCATTAGTGTGCTGATTTCGACAATACATGGGGTAGTGTAGAAGATCAAGAATATGAAAATGCACATACAAGTTGTTTTCGACGAACGGCCACCTTTTTTTTTTCAAATCTAATAAGTAAACGTGAAAAAAAATCAACAGTATTCCAGTGATAATGATGAATTCCAAAAGGACTCACAAGATGAGAATAGTGCAGCAACAATTTTAGATCATTATGAAAACATGTTCGTGAGACAGGTACAGATGTTTATTTTCCATTTTTTGAACTCATGTGGGGTAGGTAACAAAAGAAGTCGAAATATATTGACACCAAACCCGATTAAAGTGCCAAATCAGATATTCTCTCCAGAGTTTTCATCGATTAATCGCCTCTGCAATTGCAATGGGTCCACATGTAAAGCCACTTCAAATTAATGCATTGTTGTAAACTTTTAGCAATAGTTCCAAACTTTAAGTTAAAAATGTTTTTTTTTTTTTGTTTTACAATTTGAAACTAATTGCTATGTTTGTATAACAACAACTGATGTATACAACTTATAAATACACCCATGAATACACCTAGCTGAAATTTGTATAAAGTATATAAGGTTTGTTTGTTGTGAACAAATTCTTTTAATTAGTCCACCAAATGGACTCAAGATAGATTTAACTTTATGGGAAATTACATCAGTAGTTAATTTTTTAAATAACTTTGGAATGATACTCAACTTTGCGATTCCTCTATAATTAGAAGCATGATGCCAGATTTATGTAGAGGCACCAAATACGATTTTTCTAATCAGAAGGGAAATTACTAAATTTAAGTGAATAATAGTACAAAAGTGTTAAAGGGACTGACAAAGTATTTAAACAGAATTTTAATTTTATACTGGGAATGTCATCCGGACCCGGATTTTTTACTGCTTTTAAACTACGCAAACCTTTTGAATTTTTTTTTGAATCCGAAAATATGGTATAGTTACTTCAGGAATTTCTGGTATTTATATGGATAGGAAAATTTTTGCGGTAAATTGTCATAAGAAGCAAAAGCAAAAAAAAAAAAAAACTTAACAAAACATTCAACGAAATTTAAATTAAAATAAAATATCACCCAGATTTCTTATATTTTCCAAAAAGTTTGTTCTTAAAATGTTCAATTTTAGTTTATAGGAACTTATTTTTTTTATTTTAGCAACACATTCTTCCAAAAATTTGTATAAAGTTTTATAAAAATTATTTACTGCCAATTCATGTTCATTGTCATTACAACACCATAATCTATAGAAGTAATTAGTGAATTATTCAATGAAAATTAAATCATTTATATCAATAACTTAATTCGCTGGTTGCGTTTAGCTTTTCGGAGTTATGGGCGATAATTATCTTCGGGTGTTGAGATAAAAATTATAAAATACTGTGTGATATAAACAAATGCTAAGTTAAGAATTTTTCCATAAGTAGTTTCTACACTATTTATTTTATGAAGGTCTAAATCGCAAAAGCAAAAGAATTCCCAGATGGGGTTAAAGGAGTCATCTATTCTGAATCTGGCGATGAGAGCCTCTTAATGGATGGCAAGTTAAAATCGCCAAGAATATGACTGAAAAATTCAATATCATCAAAATCCTTTAGTCGAAATATATTGGATAGATATGTTACATCCCCACCTTGTTTATTTATACGATCTTTTCAATATATTTTATATTTTGGACATAAAACTTCGGTATTCAATATGGATGGTTTTAACCATGTTGTAATCAATTTAGGAACTGGTAAGTGAGGTGAATGAGCTAAATTTTGTGATTTTTCTTCAAATTCTTTTACAAATACCCTAGCAGGCCAACATTTATTCTCAATTATCTTATCGGAAAGATTTTGAGGTAAAACAATTTTAAACAAGATCGACTTTTTGAAAATGACGAACTCGCAGAGATTGTGCCACTGAGTTTATGGGAGTACATAATATAACAGAGCAAAATATGAAACATTTCCCGACAGTTTTTAGGCAAAAGCATTATTTTGTCCATGTTAGAACTCAAAAGTCTAGTACGTCTTTCGTTGATGATATTTCCAGATGTGAAAAAAATTGATCGCTCAACATATATTGTTGATATCCAACTTTTATAGACAAATTCATAGGCAAACGTTACGACGTGAATTAGATTGTGTGTTCTTTTGGCTGGTATTTCTATGATTTGTATGTCTTCACTGGTTATCATGGAATGTTATATAAATATTGCAAAAATGCAAATGCAAGACAAAAGCCTTGAATATGAGTTAAGCCATTTGTGATTTTGCTAAATCCTTCCGCATTGCATTTCTGTCCGTCGATTTTTATCTTAGTGTAATCTTTAGTCTTTGCGATCGGTAGTGAATAATACATATTCCCCCCAAAATATCGAGACTTCGGTGTCATTTTTAATTAAAGTGCAATGGGGTTGCCCTTGTCACAAACTTAACACTTTTACAATTTCTTTAAATACGCCCGGAAATACCCGATATCCTCTTGGTCAGTTATTGTTAAGTCAGCGAAAGTTGTATAAATAAGTCAAATATGTAGGGACAGAAGTTATCACTAAAAATCAAGCCGCTTCGAAAACAATCTTAAATTTGTAAACCCCACTCCAACTGGGATGTATTATATGTTCTCATAAGTTTATAACATACCAACATTAGGGCGCTAGCCCCACCGTTATACTCGGATCGTCTCCGCACTTCGAACCGATTTAGCCCTACCTTTCGTTCGTCCGCTGTACATATTACATCGCAACCATTCTAGAGGTCACAAACTTTGAGTTTGATGGATAAAGAATTAATTTGTAATGGAATGTGCCTCGTTTCCGGCGAAACTTTAAACAATGTCTCGATATGTAGTAATTTCATAGGAACTCGGGTACACGCAGCTGGTTCCACTGGCCGAATACTACATGGAAAACGGCGTTGTTTGAAGGAGAAGAACTTTCATTTTAATATGAGTCGGGATAAAAACAGCTAAGCTCTCGATGGGACATTTGTCTCACATATTTATATCCTCCACCAAACAATGGAGGGTATATCCAATTTGCCGTTCCCCTTTCAACCACTCGAAATATTTGACGGAGACCCCAAAAAGTATATATTCCTTATCAGAATAATATTGTAAGGTGGTTTAGCGATGTCCGACCGTCCGTCTGTCTGTCTATTGAAATCACGATTGAGTCCTCATTATTTAATCTAGAGCTTTTTGGCACAAAGGTTTATATTTTATGTTGTTATTTATTGTTGACCTGGTAGATTTTAATATTTTTGATGATAGTTCGGCTGAAGGTCAGTAAAACAATTTTATTTAGTTATCTCCTTTTTTCTCTTTATTTATCCAATATTTCGATTGTCATCGACAATCATCTTCAGGGATCTGTTACAAATAACACAAATTATTACAAATTAATAAGACAAATTACACAACACACAATTCTTACGTTAACTTTGTTTTAGAGGAAAACGTCTGCTCTAATTTAACGTCAAATTTGAACTAAGTCTTTTTCCATCTGTGTTTATGTACTAAATTTCTGTAAATATGTGCACAGTGGTCCGTATCAGTTTTAAAGTTCATTCTTTTTTCCGGTGGTACATTTATGATATGTAACATTTCTAATGTGAATCGTCTTTTGTAGTTGTTTTCTTGTGCCATTATATTAATATCCTTAAAGTTCGGTCTATGTCCTGTTAATGTGCAATGTGCTGCTAGAGCTGTCTTTTGTTCTAAAGGTTTGTCTGATTTTTGATCCGATTTATGTCCGGAAAGTCTAGTTTTTAATTTTGTTTTTGTCGTGCCAATATATACTTTTTGGCATATATTGGTTTCGTCGCCGTTGCATGCTATCTTATAAACGACATTGCTCTTGTCCTCCTTTTTTGTCTTCGTTTTAGTTCTACTGAACATATTGTTGACACTGTAATTGGTTTTTAAAGCTAATTGGTATTTGTCCTTATTATACGCGTTCGATCTGCAAAATCTCTCCGAAAATCCAGGTATATACGTCAAAGATTTGTATGATATTTCCTTTCCTTCTGTAATTTTAACATTTGTATTCTCCTTTACACGTTTTATTAAACCGTCGATTGTTTTTTGTGGGAAATCATTCTTTGTTAATATATTTCTTATTTTTAATTCATTATTTTGGTGGAATTGCTGGTCACTTATATTGAAAATTCTATGTATAAAGTTTGTCGCTGTATTTATCTTCACTCGTCGGGGATGTTTTGAAAAAAAGTTTATCAATCGTCCAGATGCTGTTGGTTTTTGGTACCAATCTAACTTGAGGTTGTTGTCGTGTCTTATGATTATTGAGTCTAGATATGGTAGCTTACCATCTTCCTCTACTTCATGAGTAAACTGAATGTTTTTGTCGAATGTATTTAGTATCTTTAGTGTGTTTTCGATTTCCGTTTTCTTTATTATGCAAAATATATCATCTACGTACTTCGATAATAATCTCGGCTTCGTCATCATCTTTTCTACGGAAACGTCCAATAATACCTCCATTACCACATCAGCTATGATCGGCGACGCTGGGGAACCCATTGGAAGTCCTTTTCTTTGTTCGTACACCTTGTCTTGATATACGAAGTATCTGGAGTCTTTTATACAAAGGGTCAATATTTCTATAAATAACTCTTTTGGAATTTTTGTATAGTCCTTGATTATATTCCATTTTTCAGCGATTGTCTTTAGTGCTAAGTTTATTGGGATGCTGGGGAACAATGACACTACGTCAAATGATATTAAGGTTTCGTCTTTTTCTATTTTGACATTGTTAATTTTAGATTTAAAATCCACTGCGTCCTTAATGTTGTATTTCGAGTCCTTCGTCAAATGTTTTAAAATATCTACTATGTATTTGGACAGTCCGTAGGTAGGTGAATTTATGGATGAGCATATCGGTCGTAGAGGCACTCCTTCCTTGTGAATCTTTGGTAAGCCGTAAATTCGTGGTGCGATTGACGTATTTGTCAATAATTTGTTCTTTTCGTTAAAATCTACAATATTCATTTTATATAGCACATCCACAAATTTGTTGTTTTTATTTTGTAGTGCAGTCGTTGGATCTCTTTTTAGTCGTCGATATGTACACATATCCCGAATAATGTCATTCATTTTTATTTCGTAGTCCTTTTTATACATTGCAACTGTCTTACCCCCTTTATCTACATTTAATATTAATACGTCCTTATTATTTTTCAAAAATGTTCTTGTTTGTCCCACTGTGTCAATTATAAGTTTATCTCTTATACTTAATTTTCTCCGTTTTAAGTGATCGTCAATGAGTGACACTAATTTTATTCTTGCATCTTCTTGATCTTCTTTGTTGTTTAGTGTCTGAATACACTCTTCGCTCTCAGCAATAATATTGAGTAGGGGGAATGATGTGTTTGTTGTTGGCAAAGCGAACTTTGGACCCAGTGACAACAACCACTGAACGTCATTTGGAATATCTTCGTTTGTGTTATTGATGAACCATTCTTTATTATGTTTTATGTTGAGTTCTGCTTGTTGCTTTTCTTTTAATCGTTGATATTTGTTGATGTGTCTTGTTTTATTATTGTTGTCATAACTCTTGCGGAGAATATTTTCACTCTCAATAAAAGTGTTGTAATCATGCTTGTCCATAAACTGTTGAAGGATGTCTCTTGTTCTTGAAAGTATTGTTTTGTTGGTGTGAAGTTCTTTGTGTTTTTGTTGTATTAAAAGTTTTAATATTTTCAAATGAAAATTTTGGTTATATGTTTCTAATGTTGACAGTAAAATTGGCGGGATTTCATCGTTTCGCTTGAAAATGTTGTAGGTGTTTTTTGTTGCATTGGAGATGAACGTTGGTATTATGCCTATGTTTCTGCATTTAATTAAGTACGTTATGGATGCAGTCAGATTTGATACTTGTCTATTATGCTTTGAGTATTGTTTCGTGTTGTTGATCGTGTTGTTGTCATATTTATCTTTTATTTCTTTGTATAATTGCATCTTGAACTTGATATCTTACTCTTAATTCGGTGTGCCTTCCGTGTAATGATAATGTTGTTATTTATTGTTGACCTGGTAGATTTTAATATTTTTGATGATAGTTCGGCTGAAGGTCAGTAAAACAATTTTATTTAGTTATCTCCTTTTTTCTCTTTATTTATCCAATATTTCGATTGTCATCGACAATCATCTTCAGGGATCTGTTACAAATAACACAAATTATTACAAATTAATAAGACAAATTACACAACACACAATTCTTACGTTAACTTTGTTTTAGAGGAAAACGTCTGCTCTAATTTAACGTCAAATTTGAACTAAGTCTTTTTCCATCTGTGTTTATGTACTAAATTTCTGTAAATATGTGCACAGTGGTCCGTATCAGTTTTAAAGTTCATTCTTTTTTCCGGTGGTACATTTATGATATGTAACATTTCTAATGTGAATCGTCTTTTGTAGTTGTTTTCTTGTGCCATTATATTAATATCCTTAAAGTTCGGTCTATGTCCTGTTAATGTGCAATGTGCTGCTAGAGCTGTCTTTTGTTCTAAAGGTTTGTCTGATTTTTGATCCGATTTATGTCCGGAAAGTCTAGTTTTTAATTTTGTTTTTGTCGTGCCAATATATACTTTTTGGCATATATTGGTTTCGTCGCCGTTGCATGCTATCTTATAAACGACATTGCTCTTGTCCTCCTTTTTTGTCTTCGTTTTAGTTCTACTGAACATATTGTTAACAAAGAATGATTTCCCACAAAAAACAATCGACGGTTTAATAAAACGTGTAAAGGAGAATACAAATGTTAAAATTACAGAAGGAAAGGAAATATCATACAAATCTTTGACGTATATACCTGGATTTTCGGAGAGATTTTGCAGATCGAACGCGTATAATAAGGACAAATACCAATTAGCTTTAAAAACCAATTACAGTGTCAACAATATGTTCAGTAGAACTAAAACGAAGACAAAAAAGGAGGACAAGAGCAATGTCGTTTATAAGATAGCATGCAACGGCGACGAAACCAATATATGCCAAAAAGTATATATTGGCACGACAAAAACAAAATTAAAAACTAGACTTTCCGGACATAAATCGGATCAAAAATCAGACAAACCTTTAGAACAAAAGACAGCTCTAGCAGCACATTGCACATTAACAGGACATAGACCGAACTTTAAGGATATTAATATAATGGCACAAGAAAACAACTACAAAAGACGATTCACATTAGAAATGTTACATATCATAAATGTACCACCGGAAAAAAGAATGAACTTTAAAACTGATACGGACCACTGTGCACATATTTACAGAAATTTAGTACATAAACACAGATGGAAAAAGACTTAGTTCAAATTTGACGTTAAATTAGAGCAGACGTTTTCCTCTAAAACAAAGTTAACGTAAGAATTGTGTGTTGTGTAATTTGTCTTATTAATTTGTAATAATTTGTGTTATTTGTAACAGATCCCTGAAGATGATTGTCGATGACAATCGAAATATTGGATAAATAAAGAGAAAAAAGGAGATAACTAAATAAAATTGTTTTACTGACCTTCAGCCGAACTATCATCAAAAATATTAAAATCTACCAGGTCAACAATAAATAACAACATTATCATTACACGGAAGGCACACCGAATTAAGAGTAAGATATCAAGTTCAAGATGCAATTATACAAAGAAATAAAAGATAAATATGACAACAACACGATCAACAACACGAAACAATACTCAAAGCATAATAGACAAGTATCAAATCTGACTGCATCCATAACGTACTTAATTAAATGCAGAAACATAGGCATAATACCAACGTTCATCTCCAATGCAACAAAAAACACCTACAACATTTTCAAGCGAAACGATGAAATCCCGCCAATTTTACTGTCAACATTAGAAACATATAACCAAAATTTTCATTTGAAAATATTAAAACTTTTAATACAACAAAAACACAAAGAACTTCACACCAACAAAACAATACTTTCAAGAACAAGAGACATCCTTCAACAGTTTATGGACAAGCATGATTACAACACTTTTATTGAGAGTGAAAATATTCTCCGCAAGAGTTATGACAACAATAATAAAACAAGACACATCAACAAATATCAACGATTAAAAGAAAAGCAACAAGCAGAACTCAACATAAAACATAATAAAGAATGGTTCATCAATAACACAAACGAAGATATTCCAAATGACGTTCAGTGGTTGTTGTCACTGGGTCCAAAGTTCGCTTTGCCAACAACAAACACATCATTCCCCCTACTCAATATTATTGCTGAGAGCGAAGAGTGTATTCAGACACTAAACAACAAAGAAGATCAAGAAGATGCAAGAATAAAATTAGTGTCACTCATTGACGATCACTTAAAACGGAGAAAATTAAGTATAAGAGATAAACTTATAATTGACACAGTGGGACAAACAAGAACATTTTTGAAAAATAATAAGGACGTATTAATATTAAATGCAGATAAAGGGGGTAAGACAGTTGCAATGTATAAAAAGGACTACGAAATAAAAATGAATGACATTATTCGGGATATGTGTACATATCGACGACTAAAAAGAGATCCAACGACTGCACTACAAAATAAAAACAACAAATTTGTGGATGTGCTATATAAAATGAATATTGTAGATTTTAACGAAAAGAACAAATTATTGACAAATACGTCAATCGCACCACGAATTTACGGCTTACCAAAGATTCACAAGGAAGGAGTGCCTCTACGACCGATATGCTCATCCATAAATTCACCTACCTACGGACTGTCCAAATACATAGTAGATATTTTAAAACATTTGACGAAGGACTCGAAATACAACATTAAGGACGCAGTGGATTTTAAATCTAAAATTAACAATGTCAAAATAGAAAAAGACGAAACCTTAATATCATTTGACGTAGTGTCATTGTTCCCCAGCATCCCAATAAACTTAGCACTAAAGACAATCGCTGAAAAATGGAATATAATCAAGGACTATACAAAAATTCCAAAAGAGTTATTTATAGAAATATTGACCCTTTGTATAAAAGACTCCAGATACTTCGTATATCAAGACAAGGTGTACGAACAAAGAAAAGGACTTCCAATGGGTTCCCCAGCGTCGCCGATCATAGCTGATGTGGTAATGGAGGTATTATTGGACGTTTCCGTAGAAAAGATGATGACGAAGCCGAGATTATTATCGAAGTACGTAGATGATATATTTTGCATAATAAAGAAAACGGAAATCGAAAACACACTAAAGATACTAAATACATTCGACAAAAACATTCAGTTTACTCATGAAGTAGAGGAAGATGGTAAGCTACCATATCTAGACTCAATAATCATAAGACACGACAACAACCTCAAGTTAGATTGGTACCAAAAACCAACAGCATCTGGACGATTGATAAACTTTTTTTCAAAACATCCCCGACGAGTGAAGATAAATACAGCGACAAACTTTATACATAGAATTTTCAATATAAGTGACCAGCAATTCCACCAAAATAATGAATTAAAAATAAGAAATATATTAACAAAGAATGATTTCCCACAAAAAACAATCGACGGTTTAATAAAACGTGTAAAGGAGAATACAAATGTTAAAATTACAGAAGGAAAGGAAATATCATACAAATCTTTGACGTATATACCTGGATTTTCGGAGAGATTTTGCAGATCGAACGCGTATAATAAGGACAAATACCAATTAGCTTTAAAAACCAATTACAGTGTCAACAATATGTTCAGTAGAACTAAAACGAAGACAAAAAAGGAGGACAAGAGCAATGTCGTTTATAAGATAGCATGCAACGGCGACGAAACCAATATATGCCAAAAAGTATATATTGGCACGACAAAAACAAAATTAAAAACTAGACTTTCCGGACATAAATCGGATCAAAAATCAGACAAACCTTTAGAACAAAAGACAGCTCTAGCAGCACATTGCACATTAACAGGACATAGACCGAACTTTAAGGATATTAATATAATGGCACAAGAAAACAACTACAAAAGACGATTCACATTAGAAATGTTACATATCATAAATGTACCACCGGAAAAAAGAATGAACTTTAAAACTGATACGGACCACTGTGCACATATTTACAGAAATTTAGTACATAAACACAGATGGAAAAAGACTTAGTTCAAATTTGACGTTAAATTAGAGCAGACGTTTTCCTCTAAAACAAAGTTAACGTAAGAATTGTGTGTTGTGTAATTTGTCTTATTAATTTGTTTATATTTTATGCAAATTTGTTGGTATTGGAAATGAGCTATATT